GTGTGTGTGTGTGTGTGTGTGTGTGTGTGTGTGTGTGTGTGTGTGTGTGTGTGTGTGTGTGTGCTAAAATATAAGCTTGTTATCTGTTTGCCAGTGAACATCTCATTTCTCCAGCAGTGACTCATCCTGCAGTCTGGTGGTTTCATACAAGTTAAGGTGCGGTCATGACGTCACACAGGTGGACGGAACACGTGATAGTTCACAATGCTGGCTCTGTTGAACCGCACTGTGGCGCTTTATTTTCATTTGACACCTGTTCTGCTCCGTTACCAGCCTTTAACAGAACCTACTAAAGCACCAGGCAGCTTTAGGTGCGTTTCAGGTCAAAATGTTTGTTTCTTTAAACAGTTTTTGCGCTTTTAAATCAAAGCTAAAATGATAATAATTAGCTSAGACTGTTTAAAGAAGTAAAACACTGCTCTGTCGCTAACAATAAACCAGAAACAGACGCTTGTGGTCCGGGTGGGGTCATGACGGAGGAGGCGGGGTCTGTTGAAGGGGCGGAGCCTGCGCGGAGGTGACGCTCCTTTCTCTCGGCGTTTTTGTTCACACAGAAACCAGCTGCGTCTGTTGGGGGCACAGAGAGGAGAAAGGTGGGGAGAAACAGGGAGAAGTGTTCTCTGGAGGAGGAAAAATAAAAGCACGGAGCTGGAATAATCTGAAAAGCTTTTGTGTTTCTGAGAGGTAAGAATGACTGAATCTACCTGTTCCGACTGGTTTTTTCTGCCCCTGAACGCGTCCTCGGACTATTTTAATCTGAAGGCGAGTCTTTTCATTTGTTGCGTTTAATTTACATTTCGCTCTTTGTAAATAAGGTTTTGTTTGTTAAAAGTGTGAAATTGTATCGCTGTCTGTGTCTGTAAGTTTATATAATGAGCTCATTTCCGCATCAAAAACTGCTGCGGAGTTCTCGACTCTCTTATCTTAAACATCACAAGTTGTTTATTCTGAGAAAATAATCAGAAAGCGGGTTTCTGTCTCTTTTTCTCTGCAATGCAAGCCCGAGTAAACTCCTGCCTTGTTGCGCTTTTATTGTCTTGAGTCTAAAAGTGGCAGGTGAGGGGAAAGTAGGGCGTAAAATTGGAGMTTATTTAAACAAGCAAAAGGATTTTATTCCTAGAAGAAAGCAAAACTACACGAGCTACACGTTTTAGGTTGTGTTTTTTGAGGTTTGTTGTACCAGTAATGTGATTTCAGCAGGTATTTTTGTGTAAATATCAGACATTTTTAGGTTTTCAGTGTGGGAGGCTGATGAAAAGAGGCTGTAGACAGTTTGAGAACAGCCTCTGTGAATACAGATGAATTACATTAGTTCACAAAAGAATAAATTTAGTGTTTGTGGTGTGGACAAAAACCTCTGAGTCACTGTTTTATTCTGTCTGGTTTGTAAAGCAGTGTGCTATTTTAGATCAGACACTGATTTAAAGAAAAAAAGAACAAACTTTCTCCACTTCCTCCTATTTTTTATGTTTACTGTATGCTTTTACAATTCTGTCACTATTCCTGATTTGTGTCAGTTCTTATAGGCAATTATCGCTCACTGCCCATCTTTCTGGTCTGTCTGTTAGCAAAATATCTCCTGAACCACTGGATGGATTATTATGAAACTTTCAGGAAATAGTGGTTTGATCATCCTTTATAGCTGCTGCAGACATTTTTACAGATCTTGACCTAAAACTTGATGTGGTGGTAGCTGAGGCAAAAACATTCTCCGAGCTAACAGATTGCACAACTTGTCTGTTTGGAAATTATCTCACGAACCACCGGACTGAGTTTTAATAAAACTAGGTAAAAAAAAAGGAATCCCTTGATGTAAACCTGCAACTGATTTAACTTTTGGAGTCGATACAAATAAAGGTGGCTGCTACAACAGCCAACACAAAATGGCTGCAACTCAGTTTATTTCACAGGTTATGAAATAAAATATGAGATAGTAGCTCAGAGTAATTAATAACAGATATAACATAGTTATGATAATCAGGGGTAGACATAAGGATATAGTTGACAAAACCTGGTTGTCCGCAAAACATTTTGGTTGTCCAAAAGAATCTCAAGAAAAATGTAATTTAACAAGTATAATGTTCTGTAGATAAAGTTTATTATATATAATTGTTCTCAGTCAGCCAGGTTGACAGGATCTGCATGCATAAAACTTCATTGTCTTCTTTGAAACAGAGTATTTAAGGCTCATGGAGTAAAGCAGCAAAATGTTGCTAATAAAATCTAGAGGTTATCTGACATTCATAAACTTCTTTCTGCTCGTAGGTCAAACATTTTCACTTAAATAGGAGTATACTGTGTACATGACCATATTAAAAGTTACAGTTTTATTGTTCTGTTCGGCTTTACTAACTTTCTTCTCCCTTTCATTTTTAAAAATGACCGACACCTGCGGCAGATAACTTTAATCAAGGTATTTTTGTTCACCGGACAACCAGGAGAGAGGATCTGGTTGTCCAAAATGAAAATAGGTTGTCTCGGACAACCTAAACAATGGTTATGTCTACCCCTGATAATAACTAAGATTGTGAGAACAACACAGAAAGACATTTTATTTTAAGATTTGACCAAAAAGCCTACAGCTTTATCATTTTTCTAACACAAAATGATCCATCAACTTGTTGGAAATTTACCTCCATGTTGATTTATTTCATGTCCAGTTTTTTCCCACTGAGCTGCTCATATCCATGAGTCACCAGTATCATWAAAAATGCAGGACCTGACAGGACAAACGGTTCAATTTAGTTAGAAAACAGAACTGTGCATGTTTGCAGTTAGCAAAATATCTCACGAACCACTATACAGATTTTAAATAAACTCACCAAAAGTAATCGCAGGATGTTCATTTACAGCTTTTACTTTTTTAGGTCCAACTTGATTGAACATGGCAACCAAGATTTGACCAAAATGGCCATCCCTCTGTCATTAATGTACTGTGATATTTTAAAGTCCCTGTGACATGCCTTTCTATCATATACAAAAAGTCAAAGAAAACACATTTTTTTATAAGAAACTTTGCACAAAACATGATTTTTACCCATTTTGTCACCTAAATGGCATATTTTCTTTTGAACTTGGCCCAGCCAAAGTGCAACAGGATCACATGAGGATTTTAAGAAAGAGAAATCTGTGGTCTTTGTTTATTGTAACAATATTATTTGAACTCTGACTCTTCTTCATCTCTCTGATAGCGACTCAAAATAATCTAAAGAAACATCAGATCCTTCTCTACAGTCTGTGTCGTTAGCTTTTTTATCAATGCTTTGTTCCATGCAGGCATTCCCCTTTGACATCACTTCCTGCTCCTTCACATGCAAATATCTCAACAACTGTTCATCTCAGCAGCAGGAAATTATTTTTGCAATATGCTAATAATGTTATCTTTCCAATAATTCCTTTACATTTATTTTAAAAATTTCATATCACAGGCACTTTAAAGCTTCAATATGAAGGGCAGCCCAGAATTAATGTTCACCTATTCGATCAGGTGCAGAAAAACTATCGACTGCAGCCGTCTGTGGCGCGTTCAACACTGTCAACTCCAAATGCTTTGATGTCAGAGAACAGCTGCTGTTGTYGTGTAAACAGGACCTCAGAAATCACCGGAAAGCTTCCTCCAGACCCTGACGTCCAGCTGAGTTTCTGATGAACGCGTCCAGCTGAGGGTTGTCTGATGTGTTGCAGTTTGAGTCGGACTCTGTGCCAACCTGGCTCGTAGTCCCGCAGCAGACGGAGGCGTGTTTGGAAAGCTGTTCCTGTCTGCCCTCGGGGAGCRGGGTGGACGGCTGGTGGGATGACCACGAGGGTTACTTACAGTAGATTTTGCGGCCACAGCCACGGTGGCACATTGCTAATCCCTGATCCCCCTGCACCTAATTCCCTGATAGTGTCCTACATTAAGAGGCCAGGGGATCCTTTAGTGTGTAAATGGGTCCACGTTTTTAAAGGAGATTACTGAATGACACACATCTTGACCTCTTGGTTGATGTTTTTACCCCTTGGATTTATTTCTCATCCTGTCTGTGTCCGCTGGTGCCTGACGGAGCAGCAGCTCGGGTAAAGCCGACGATCACCTCCATGTTTGAAAATTACCGCTCTTTTATTTTCAATGTTCCTGTGAAGAAAGGAGTGCRTAAACAAAAAGTTTCCCATGAACTCGCGTCATGATGAGAGTGATAGTTCAGACTTTTTCATGTGAGCTTCTATGAAAGTTGAATAATTAATATCTAACCTGTTATGGATAGCTCCTGAAATAGACTGGGATTAATTCTGCAGGACTGACAAGCTAATGGCAAGTTGACGCGGTGCCAGGACCAAAGTGGATGAGTGTTGATTGATGATGGTTGCCAAGAAACAACTTCACGCTCAAATATTTTCGAGACAGGAGCGTCAGATATTGTGTACGGAAAGGAGAACGATGACTAACGAGTTTGAAACAACTTCCAAGGAAAGCCAAACGATTTTTATCCAAATTGCAGCCTTTAGACATTCAGTTCTTTGAATATTCTTTTTACCAAGTYAAACCAGCAACAAACCAAATTCTTATATTTTCTTAAAATTTGACAGTTTTGGCTTCAASCCCGCTGCTGCCCTTGGGTCAAAATGACTCATGATGCCTGGTGAATCATTAACCCATTACTGTAAAACTGAGAACAGCTAGATTATCGGATTGAAAAAAGCTTTCTGAGTTTCTCTGTTTATAATAAGAAGCAAAAACATCCATTCATGTGAGATTTTTCTGCTGTTGGTAACAAAGCATTAAGTCAGACACTTTGAGCAAGGTGCAGTGGTAAAATGCTAATCAAGTATAGCTGACAGTATCCAGCTGAGCTCTGCCCACAAAGTCCATAAAGTTAATTATTTACCTTCAGCGGTTTTCTCGATTGGATCAAACAAGTGCAAGAAAAGGTCTTTTACTGAAAATGTCAAAGGCCTAATGGTGGTTTATCCTCGCTGGTGGCACTTTAAAAGCCTTTTGAACATCCACCATGTTGGTCGTTTCAATTCAGCTCTTATCAAAGCTGTCTGAAACTCCCACACACCTCTGCAACTACTTACTGGAAATAGCTGAGTCCAACTGGTTTTTTTTTCCTTTGAACCCATTACCATTGATAACTTTTTTTTTTAATTATGCAAGCTTAGAGGAAGTGGACGGTGACTCTGAAGAGAGTTTTCATAGCTGGATGATTTGGCTGAGTTCTGCAGAGTCCTGTGGTGTCTGTTTTTCTTCACCTCCTCCCATTTCTTTTTAATTACACTTCTCAGAGATCTTGTGGGGTGTGGCTGAAACAGAAAGCAAAGCAGCAGGGAAGCTCGACTTGRCAGATAAGCATCGAGAATGTCTGAAGATTGAAAGGGAGTTTTTTCTTCTTTTTTTTTCATTTTAAAAGACTGAAATTGGGTCACTTTTGTGTCCCATGCTCCGTGTTTTAGGAGGATCGTGAAAGTGTTGAAAGTTGCACAACCTTGGCGTGTGTGAGTGTTTATTACAAAACACCAACCACGGTTTGGAAAATGCATGGGAGCTTAGAGTGAGTCACTGCCATTCTTCCTGCGTTTCCTCTTTGTTCGGTCAAAGTTGGTATTTAGAGGTTTTGTCTGAGAACAGACTAGCAACTCGTGAAAGAATGTGTTGCCAAATCTTCAGTGACCTCACATGGCGGTAGAGCTTGGAGTATGTGTTT